CCACGCACCCTGATCCACAAAAAACACTCGACCAGAATTTTGACCATCAACAAATATGAGTGAGAGACCTGAGCCCGCAGCTGGGCCTGGTACCAAACCCTGAATGCTGGAATTTGCGATGGGTGCGCATTTCCCATAACGCCTGCCAGACTCCGATCCGGCCCCCCTGTTGGTCTACCGCGCGACCCGTTTTAGGGGCACAGCGTTCGATCCACACTCCTACGCACAGATCTCGCTGCCGGGAATTAAACCATAGCTCGAAGACTTCCAACTAGCCGATCTAAATGCAGAAAAGTATGAAAAAGTGACCGTAAAAGAGCCGGATAGGACGCTAATCTGACCGCATTACTTATGAGTTTGTGCAGACGGGGGGAGTAGCTTGAGTGGTCGGGAATGGCAAACTGGCCGGTCTGAATCGCCAGTGCATTGGTGCCAAAGGGGAGTGCGAAGAAGCAGAGACCAAAGACAACACAGCCTAGGGCCCAGATGTCCACAGGGGTGCCTATGGGTTGGCCACCGTCGGTGTAGAGATCCACCATCTCGGGCGCCCTGTAGGCCAAAGTCGTGTGTCTGAAATGGAGAAGAAAGAAGACGAGCTGCAAATCTCCCTCAGTAAATCCGCAATGTGAGGCGGACAATTGGTGAACAAGCTAGCAAGTCAGTCAGGCGGAGAGTTGGAAAAGGACTGTTAGTAGCGCGTCGTGAGAGGTTAATGCAGCGAGGAATGTGCGTTACGACGAAGGCTACCTCAGCATTGGCCTCATATTCTACAAACCTTTCGGTGGAGGGAATGCACGCAGTGGATGACACGGTATGAGCCTCTGCCCAACGTTGGTCACACGCACGAATGGAGCGTAGTTATGAACCCATGCTGAGTCAACGCAGCCCGACTAACGTCGCCCGTTCCGTTCCAGCAGTCATGACGTAGCACGCTTGGGTTCGCAAAGAGTTAAAAAAACATGAATGCTAACTGTTGGCAAACGAGATTTAGGTTGGAGCATACAACCCAGTAGATCAGTCAGAAAAATAAGGCCAGGAGGTCGTCGAGATGTTCTGTTAGACTCCACATAGACCCAAGATGAGGATGGATAAGAACAGAAGGTTTGAAATGTCATAGTGGCCCAAGTCTACGCCATTCCTGAGGATGTTAAGAATTGGAGATAGATGAGCTGGGGAATATACCAGTTAAAACAATGATGCTATCTCCTTATAGAAATAATGGGTCACGTTGTGGAACTCACTAACCCTGACTACGATTCAAATACCTGCTCGGGTCATGGCTCTCAGGCCCGCAATCCATCAACAAACGCAATTACCTCCCGGTACCATATTCCGTGCTGAGATTTTCCCTGGGCAGGGGAATCAATCACGTGGGGAGGGCGCGGGCGAGCAATTATCCCAGTGCCAGTAAGCCAATTTGCCGAACAATCGTCACATCAGCATCCAACACAGATGACGAAATCACGGCGATTAACGAATCGGACGCGGACTGACATGCCACCATCGCACCCCAGCAGTGATGGCGAGACCTGTTAATGACATTGCGCATATGGTCCCACGGCAGCCATGTGCTATAAATACTGCACTCCTTGTGCCACCATTACGCTTATCTGCGACTGCCTCTGATGATGGATTCGAGTGAGAATCCGAAACGTCGGGCCAATAAATTTCTTGTTCCAGTGATCACCTTCATCATCTGAACTGCTGCCCTCTATCAGTCGAGGCAGACTTTGGGAAACAAAACCAAACACACTTGGCATCGCCATGAGCGACTAGCCAACTGTTAGTAGACAGGCGTTGATACGCATGTGGAAAAGTTGCACCCATAAAAGAGACCACGCGATTGCTACGCTGGACCAACAGAGGAGCTAGATAGAAGTTCGACAGGCGTTGATGAGAATGCGTGCCCATAACAAATGCCAAGATTGTGTGTCGCGGCACGCCCACGTGCAGGCTCGCATTGCGCCAATTGGAATCCGAGCCGCCCCTTTTTTCTTCGTGTAAAAAATCCTGGTCAGTGTAAGTTGTGGGCCAGGGGATGCGGCTGTACGCCTAGATGCGGGTTTCATCCCTGCCAGTCATCCGCACCCGCCCCATGCCTTTGGTCTTTTTGGCTCTGGCTTGACGCCGGGCCCAGGTGGGGGAGGAGGAGGGAGTGTGATAGATGCGGTGCAGGTCTACTAACACTATAAACTAATTCACGCGCGAGTTACCGTCTCTGATCTTACCCTGCTGTGAAACACAGTGGAGATCGTCAGTCACGATGGTCAAACTGTTGCACGTGGATCAGCCCTAGAAGATACTGATGGTGATACAGCCATCTTAGAGTGGCGCAATCTTTTAGCCAGCCTCGTGATTTTAATTAAATTGCATGAGCGATTACTAATCACGTCCGTACATTGGCCAGCCTGTTTTCATTTCTGGCCTAAGTCAGCTCCCAAAGTAAACGAACAAAATGGAAAGTTACTTTGGCCTATGTTCCCTGGTTAGGATGAGAAAGGATGCAGCCTTCCCCACCCTTAGAAGGACGTTGCGCGTGGAGAATAGCGGCATAAATGGGTCGAAGTGAGCGATTGTGAGAGACGCTGCATCTACGCGGCTGGCAGAAGTAAGGTGTGGACAAGGGTTTCGCTGACTTTACTCTCCACACACTGCGTCAGGCAGTAGTGCCACAGGCACTGCACAACCAAGTGACCCGGTATGGTCTGCTTACGTTTAGGACCCCCGGTGGCATAGTGGTTAGTTGTGGCGATGTCAGAAAGAGTGAGTGATGAGTTTACTTCCTCCGCTGATAGTCCGTTGGCTGACTGCACACTTTAGGGCGCAGACAGTGGGTGAGTTGTGAGCGCTTCCGACAGCAGACCGCTCGGAGATTAAGGTAAAAGTCGATTCAAGTACATTTCAGAACGTGATACGCAGGCAACGGAGGTATTCCACGGACACTCGTTCGGTGGTTTCTGATGGGTATGCCATATGGGATGCTTGTATTCCTGTCAACACAGACAACGTTCTGATGTCAATTAGCTAACTTCGATAGTCACGGGGATCTCTGGCTTCTGCGTTGTCGCTTCCGTCTAATTATTATGGCATCAGACAATAGTGAAAGTGCATTCTGCCGTTTTAGGTGGTGCGGGTATTCGGAGACTCGAGGCTCGATCGAAGCCGCTCACTTCCAGGTGAGAGATGCTATGCATAAGTTCTCGGACAAGGTCACGATGAGAGGGATTAAGACGTGGTGTGTAAAATTGCTGTGGAAGACTTCAGCACTTTAGTGAGACTATCTCCTTCCCTAAAATCAACCACAGGAACCTGGTGGAAATTGACGCCCACTGAACGACCGGTGCTTTCCTCCAACCAGTACTCGTCCACACGCTCCCCGCGTAGCTAATTACTCTGCTCAGACAAGGCCTCCTCACCGAAAATGGAAGGGGGATGTCGCTGCTATTGTTAACAGACTGGAGGTCTGAGGACCATGACTCAAGCAGTTTGCGGCTCACGAGCTCGTCGCCTCGATATCGCCGAAGTTGATAGCTTGATCGGGTCTTGTCGAGTGAGTCGCGACCTGAGCGCTGACATCATTCCTTGTCATTGCTGCTGCTTGTTCAGGCATCCGCGTCCAGGGTGATCTCCCAGTCTCTCCCACACAGTTGCTCTGCCCGTAACTGCACCAGATCCGTCGCACGCAACGACGTCTATCGTGCGCCCCTGCGCGGGAAAGTGACTAGCTTACAGCGAGACGGATTTTCACAGCATCGGCAGCACTCACTTCTCTCTCGTCCACTTGGCTCCAATGGCAAAATAACGTCCAGACGATCGAGGGAGGATTTGGGCGACTTTAGCACGTCAAAGTGGGCTCATTGTCAACGATTTCAACTGCCCTCAAAGGAACTATCGCATCATTGCCAGCCGTTGAAGTAGGACGAGGAAGGCAAACTGGTAAGGCAAACCGAAACAGTTGTGGGTAGACATTTTGGAGAGCACTTTCTGGAACTGTTTTCCAGAGTTCTTCCCTTGGACAGAGACTAGTAGTCTCATCACCGCAAGAGTCATCCAGAGTGGGATAATTGAAGGTGTCAACTGGCATGAAACTCATTCCCGCTCTCCCCCCTTGAAGCGGAATGGGGGTTGCATGACATTCTTACAGACGGTTCGGTTGAGGCACTAGTCCCAAGTGGGAGCGCTGGTATCCTGATCACTGTCTAACGCCCCAGGGGCCAAATGTCGTGAAAGGACGTAGCCAACGGGCATATTTTTGAGTCGCCTCTTAGGAAGCCAAATTTCAAGCACTGGAGGCCGCACTTCGTGACATGAAAAAGAACCTGCAGATCCTGCCGATATGCTAGAATAAAGTGAAAAAAGTGGCCAGGGCATAAACTAGAAAAAATGAAAGCAAAGATTTTACGGCTATTCGAGTACGGATTCGTCCTATCGTGGGCTCAGACACCGCCTTCGAAAACTTGTGTCAAGTTTTTCAACTTTGAAGATCATTCCAGAGTTTTGAAAACCGACAAACGTAGGACGTCTTCATCAGGAATGGAGGTAAGTAATCCTGTGTCGTGCTCATGCATCAGACTGTAAATCTTTCTTTAATACACTTGCCTCCACGAAGCAGATTCGTCGCGAAGACCTTTATTCTTGCTTTACCGCTTAGAAGCTCCATTACATGGGATTGGTAAAACAACAGTACTTGAGCTTCCACGAAAAAAAGGAAGCGGAGTGTTGGTGAGAATAGAGCGGAATGATGAAAGTACTGCTTATTGTGACCCTCTGTGATGAGGCAACAAACGAACTCGACACCAAAGTAGCCCATCCACGTGCCCAATTGCGCACACGCAACATCGATTGGCAGATTTGAAATAAGCTGCAATCACGTGGCCCCATTGCAGCGAGGTCTGGCTGGCTCTAAGTGGATGCTTGAATAAACGTGACCCATAAAGTCGTAGCGAACAAGCTAACGAAGACCACTCAGTGTGGCTAGAATGCAGCGGCACAAAGGTCAGATGACCCAAGACACGCCTACGGCCTGGGATGAATGCGAAAAACGCGAGTTAGAACCACCAGCGGAGCAAGACCAAGACCTAGATGTCAGCGGGCCAGGAGATCGTGGGTCCTCTTACAACCACGAGGCGGTAGGCGATATCCAGGATGGGAAGTTCAACCCGGCGCGCAGTAAGGACACGATTGAGGACAAGGAACTGCAAACCTACGACCTCGTTTCCCTCAACTCAAATAGTACCTACATGGAGGAAGAAGTGAGAGTAGCGATGCTCAGAAGTTATGACCACGAGCCTCAGTCACTAAATGCCATGCCTGAGGACGGTAACGACATCGCCGGTAACACATTAAAAGTAAACAAGCCTGGAAAGCCGGGCAGTCCCACCCTCAATGCGCCGGCCGATGCTGAAGAGAACGGTGCCTGGGAAGTGCAACGACTGCAGAAGTGTGAAAGATTGAGCGACGCCAGCGATACCACGACCTTGAAGGTGCACGCAGGAACAGGAAGAGAAACTGATTCTCTGGTCTGCAGCTCAGTGCAGCCCGAAAAGAAGAGGAAGTTGGTGAATGAGACAGATGAAGAGTTGCGAGTGATTCATGGCGAGGACAGGATGCCGGGAACCGAGGATGGACGCGTTGAGGTAGTGGCGGAACTGCATGGCGACTGGCAGGTGAACGTTTTTCCGGCATCAGAAGTAGACCCAACGCCATCGAAGAGCCCCATAGAAAATATGGATCAGACCAAAGGCCATCTGCAGGTCTCGCAACCATCGCGTCTGTTTGGTGAGGAGCCAGAATCGAAACACACATCGGAGAATGAGGAGGAAACCGAAGCACGTAGGACGGCGGTAGGGTGTGGCAGCGTCGAGCGGGCTTCGCGAGAGACAAATAGGCAACTAGAGCCCACCCCCAGCAGAGAATTGCAATGGGAACCACCGATTGCAATGGAGCAGGTCTCAATCATGTCTTTCTCTCTACTTGAGGACGCTGAAGAAGCCCCCGGAGAGTTTGGCATGCCCGACCTCCTAAACGGAGCGCCGTGCTTCTCCAAAGAGAACAGTGCGCCAAAAATGAAAGCGCTGAAGAATGACATCAGGCGGGAAAAGAGAGGAATTCCCAAGAATCTCGCGAATGTACATGAAACGGATGCACAAACAGCAGAACCCCAGGAGTTGGCAGAGGAGGATGCAAGGGATGTGACAATGATGATAGTGGAGTCTTTTGAAGGTAGCCCCACTGCCTGGATAGATCCTGAGTACGGTTGGGGACGCGAGAACCTCCAAGCCACAAAGGCCTTACAGTCGCATTCAATACCTTCAGAATTAGACAAGAGTAGAAGGACGGAGAAGCAAAATAGCACTGTAACACTGCCCATATTCATGACGCATAGGAAAGTGGCTACGGTGGAAGCAAGTAAATCAAGCTATATAGTGAGAATGGAGGAGGGGTGCGATCTGACGTGCGCTAACGATGCAAGTGATCGCTTCGGGGAGGTAGATAATGAACCACTGGGTCGCGAATGCCTGAAGCCTCAAGACCAAGAAGACTTACTGGGAAGGACAGAACCGATGTACGAATCTAATCCGAAAAATGCGGTAGACGTGACGGAAGTCTTGAACACAACCGCATCTGGACGCGACGAGGAGAAAAGTAATGAGATTGGAGGTTCCGCCAGGGACCTTCCCCGAAGGACAGGCATCAACAAGGATGCAACCGGCGGACCATCACAGATACCGAGAACAAGCACTCCCGCAAAGTGGATCCAGGTGGGACCGCTACAGTTACATGACACACTGATGACAATCGAGTGCGTTTCGGAATTAACACCGCTTACAAGTGAAGATGAGGATGATGATTTCGGAATGGTTAAGAGCGGTACAGAAGAGTCGCCGGGCGCTTTAGAGGTATTAGAAAAGAAGAGCGAGGAAAAAAGAGACCAATCGAACCCGCACATCTTACTGAACGCGACTTCGAGGGAAGAAACTAGGGGTTCGACCAAATGGAAGGATAGGTGCAGGGTCCTCCCAGAGGAAGGGGCTATTGTGCTCACAGAGGAGGCGTTGGCAATGCCCTCATACCCCAGCAAGGCCACAGAAAATCAACAGACGTACAACACAACCTATGATAGGCAGGAAGAAAAAACGCTGGGTGAGGATCAAATGCACACCATGATGCCACCTCCGAAGACTGAGGTCGCCGGAGGGGTGTTTGGCACGCTCAACACTATTCCCATTGAGATTCAAGCAGAATCGACAGCTCAACAACACACGTGCGACACGACGCTGTGGGAGCGAATGACAACACCAATCCGGTTGGAGCACATCTCAGAAATGACTTCATTCACCAGTGAGGAGGAACACAGTGACCGCCACCACGATGACTACCCGAAGAGCCAAACTGTATCCACCAGTCGAAACCACGGGCGGCAGGATGAAACAATGCTGGTGTTGCGGTCAGAAGCCCCCTCAGCAAAGACAGAGCAGATCTACGAACTGACACCACTGTGTAGTACTACATCCGAGGAGGAGGGAGGCATAGGCCAGGACCAGGCAAAAAAAGAAGGCCGAAGCACGGGCACTCGGCTATCGCATTGGATAGGCGTCGAGATGCAAAGCCGACTGGCGCAGGAGAATGGAACAAGACGGCTGGACATTCAAGATCCGGCACTTCCACGGACAGAATCCCTTCAAACTGTCGAGGTTGATGGTCAGCTGGAGTATCCAACTCCACTTCACCTAACCGACGGTGCATCCGAGTATATGGAAACTGGTGACCAGGGTCTTACCACCAGACCGTTACTCAAGGTGACCCACCAAAAAACCGAGACCTCAGAGACCGGAACAGTAGATGTCGGCGGCGGCGGCGCGAACGAAGTTGATCAATTGCTACAGCGAGCGCAACAGTGCATGCCCTATGAACGCCTTCAGGTGGGACAGAATCGGGAGCCTATTCACTGTCTCAGTCTTACTGAGGGTGCTACAACGACAGCGACGCTGTGCGGTGCAGTGCACGTCAGTTTCAACCCCCTTGATAACACTGCCCCCAACTGGCAAGCCGGAGAACAGAATGGGAAGATCGACAGTTTCCCAGTCGCGTCTCATGGTCTCTTTCACCCCAACGCCTCTTCCAAGTTGAGTTCTACCCCACAAACAGAGACCGTCAACTGGATTGAGAGAACGGTGATCTGTAGTCCGGTCAAGATGGACACACTACAGGCTAGGCCGAACGCCAAAGAGGACGTCATCGCCACCGCTGCTGCTGCTGCTGCTGATACTTCGACTGCGACATCGATGGTCAGAGAGAAGGTAGCCAGCGGACTGGAGGAGATTGCAACTGAAAATGAGGTGACGACACGATGTCTGGACGAGACGTTCGCAGCTGTCTGGTGGTGCGCCCCAGCCCAGTCCCTTCGACCCTACACTGGCGACCACGAGCATGCGAGACAAAGGACGGCAGTTCATCGGAGTGAGCCGGCATCAAAGGGCGAGTTCGACAGGGAGGAGGCTTCTGCCCTGCATCAAATTATCACCGTAACGCTCCCGCTGAGTAAAAACACAAAAACAAGTGCCGCGGAGGACGAGGCAAAGAGTGAGGGTAGTATGGCAGAAGAACGCAATGACGGTCCATTGGTGGCGGAAAAGTCGGAGGAGGCAGATTACCGCAGTCGGCAGGAGGCAGAGGATAGCGAAATTGGGGAGGCGGCATGCAGCCCGACGCAAGTCAAACCACCCAACGCTTTCGCTGAACCCTCGTCAGGGGAAGTGGTCAGGAGAGGGAGTACAAGAAAACCATCACCGGAAAGGAGACGAAAATCAGCAATAATAACGGTTGTCGGTGAGGAGAGGACTGCATTTCACAAACAGCCAAGGGTAAAAGTAAAAGTCATCAAAGATGTTGTCAGGCCACTCAAAAGCTCCGAAAGGTTCGAGGAACAGGATGGACCGCAGATGCCGGTTGTGACCGAAATGAAAGAGCAGCAACAGGAGGATGCGGAGGAGGAGGACAACCCGCTTTACAGGAAACCAGAAAGAGAAACACTTCTACAGACCGAGGAAGAACATTCCGCAGAGGGTTTGACAACAGACAACACGTCACAACTGGCGTCGCGGACGGAGAGCTCTCGCAGACGTGACGCTCTCATGACTGCCATTTACCTCGACGGACTCATCAGGGATACAGTGGCTGCTCTTCGATGCCGACCAAAGGCTAACAGGCTGGACCCTGCAAGAAGGCAGGTTTCGTGCTTCTGTTGGCGGCGATAGTGGCGGCTTGTCTTATATCTGAAAGCGCGCTAGCGCCTATGACACACAAGAACCGACAGAGAATTCCCATTTGCGTTTCTTTCTGATTTGCCTGGGCGGATCAAAATAGACACTGTATGCACCGTAGGTGTTTCAACTGTGTCTGTTACATTTCGCGTAGGCGTTTTACCCATTAGCCTACAACAAACCACTGCTTGCTCATATCCAGATCCTGGGCTAGTTCACAGTCCTCGAACCAGAAGCGGGTCTGCAAAGAAAGAAGTTGGTGACCGTTCGACTATCGAATCCGACGGTTCAACCGTTTGCTCCACTGCACAGCAGGAATAGGCACGGCAACTGGCGTGTAAATTAGTTTGTAGTGATAGAAGACTTGCGCTGCACCAACCGCACCCTCTTCTCCTCTCCGATCTGGACGCGGTGTCAAGGCAGAGTCAATAAGACCGGAGGAGGGATCGAGCGGCGGCTGGTGCGGTGCGGACCCCTATCCTGGAGGGCAACCATGCCGGCTGGTATATGCACAAAGGACCAGGATTTCACATAGCAAAAAAGAGGAGTCGGTCGGATTCTAACCGAGTGGGAGTGCCATAAAGGCCATTGCTGCCTGACTGTTCGTCCTGAAAGGAGGACCGAGTTAACTCATCAGTTGGCAGTTTGCCAAGTCACGGATTTTAGCACACCGTGATGGATTCAAGCGCGTCAGATTTTTTATATAATGAGGAATATGCGCTGAGACAATCGGCTTCAGTCCCCCTTCCCTCTCTCCCAAACACCAGTTCACTGTCCGGGCTGGTCAGCTGTCTGATGTGGGGATTAGGATCAGTCGCGGACAGAGCTAGAGAGCCCACATACACAACCTGGCTCCCACACACACAACACAAGATTTCACAAAAAAGGGGTGGACGGCTTGGAGCTCACATGTTTAAGCGCCCACAAGGTCACAATAAGAGGGAGTCATCGCAGTCAGGTAAGAAAATGGATACAAAAGAATGCTAGTCAGCAAAGAATGTGGCACCCGTGGGAGGCACCTGTCCAACCTGCCACATCTGAGCAGAAGAATGGTTCGGTAGATGTGCTCATGCAGAACCTGTACTTTCCCCAGAGAATTTTAGAAAACCTGGATTGGAATTCGGAGTCCGAAAGTATATAATAATCTGGCACTAGAAACTGTGTAATTAACATATTTTAAGCAAATGCTGCAACCTATGCGTTTCGGGGGTCATGGCGTGAGTAGTTCCTAAACAACCTCCTATACTTTCAGTTCATTTACTCTTCGACAATAGTTCATGAGACTATCCCAAGTAGGGGAGAAGAAGGCTTGGCGAGCTTTCGAACTTGCACAGGAGTCCACCGTCAGAGATAGCAGCAGCAACAGAATGAGCGACAACTATAGAGGGTACTAGACAATCAACGAACAATGACGCAGGTCTATACATGATTGCGCAGGGCCCAGTACGCCGGGGCCAGATTGACACATCGACTGACTGAGTTCTCACTGAGGGCCGGACGACAATCAAGTCTCGGCTTGTCTTGCTTGCGGTGTGAGTCACTGCCCTGGCTGCTGCGAAGTTAAATTCCTGACCCTCCTTCGAAGGCACGGACAGTCACTTGCGATAATTCATCGCCCCGCTGTGCGATCTGAGCACGCGTTTTGCCTGACCTGTGCAGTTGCAAGGACAGTTTGGGCATGGGAGGTGTAAGAATGCCACATCCTCGGTGATATTGCTGTCTGGGTCCACCGGGAGCGAACACGTAAACGTCCTCGAATAGTCATTTCCCATAAATTGATCGCAAAGATATCAAATTTCGTGAGCTTCTTCCACTGGATTGTTGCGGTGAGTCTGAGGTCGTTTGAAGAAGGCTCTCACACAGCTTCCCTTGTGAGCCAACGAGCCAAACATAAGCTCATTTTCTTTTGTCTCTGATGATGGATTCGAGTAGGAATCCGAAACGTCAGGCTAATAAAGCTCTTGTCCCGGCGATCATGTCTCCTTCTTCAATCCCCATAAGTTCTTGCCCCATTGACACTACCTTCTGGCATTGACTGAACTGGACGGCTTCGCATCCACTTTTAATCAGGTTAAACACTTGCATTTCAGCAAACTCCTGAAAATAATCTAGCTTAACACTGAGACATTCTCTTCTTGCAGAGGTCAAATGCTCAGAAAGTTTGTCAAAACTAATTAGGCAAAATAACCGAATTTAAAGTAGCATCGACAGTTATTCGAATAAGGCATTGTGAAAAGACTGACTGGGGACGTAAAGGTGGCAAACAACGGTGAATAAGTCAGTACGAGGTTATTGTCCACGCCTGCCGGTGTTCGAACCTTTAGCATATTTAAGGATTTTGGCGGATATCTGCTAAGCCAGGACGTCCCTTTTGAAATGGTGAGGATGAAATAAGACTTCCAAAAAGCGCAAATACTGTTTTGTAACGTGAGATTTGATGAAGGTTCATGGATCAGCAGCTCCCGACAATATGGAGGGTTCTTCATTTCACTTTCGCCTCAGGAAGTGATGTGATGGTTCATTCAATTGGATCAGGTGTTCCCAGATTTCACAAACAGCTGGACCTAATGGTAGTCGTCTATTTGCGCGATGATAACCATCAATGCCTAAGGAGGCAATGGTGACTTCGGCATAAACTCGTCTGCAGTTAAGGAGACCTTAGAAGGCGAAGATCAAATATTTAAGCTCACTGAGAAAATGGGGCACAGGGATTCCTGTAATACGTGAAGAATGTTGGTGTTTGTTTTACCAGAAAGGCAGATGGATGCGGCAATTAACGAAATCTGCAGAAGGCATTAAGACAAACCGTATTCCTGCAAAATGCTAGTTTTATAACTTAAACGGGGTGCCGGAACAGAACACGTAATTTGAAGGACGTGATTTAAGGACGTGTGAACGACTGGAAAACAGGTAATCCAACGTTAAGGATTAAAGAAGTCCGGATTGGGTAGGACGGTATGCTGTGGGCAGACTTAGACTTGCCCGCGGCGTTAACCCTCTCCTTAACATAAATCTTTGACGAAAGCCTGACCTGGAACCTGAGCCTAACTGTAACCATATTCGTAAGCCTACCAGCAACTGAGACCCTTATGATAACATGTCTACCCACACCAAATAAGTAGGTGTGTTACCGTAATTAATAATTGGGGTTACATATATAACCGTTGCCTTTGAGAATCCTGCACTTTACTCCCTCCCTCTTCTCACATCGACCCATAATGTGTTGGCAGGCTGAGATTAGTACGACCGAAGGCGAACGAATTAATGAAAGGAGATAAGGCTTGAGTGTCACAAAGACGGTCATTCCTAATCGTCCACCTCAATGCGTTGCGCTATAGATATGCTGCGCTAAAACGGAGTGGATGGGATGTGCTGACACGCCTAGACATAGGCCCTCTCTATTCTCACCCTCTGTTTCCATGGCAGGACAGTGCCAAAATCACTAGCGCAGCGTCTGACAAGGCTAAGCAGCCCGTCTACGAGCGTCAAGCACGACCTGGTCACCATAGAACGTGCCGGGCGGCTGGAACTCCACATGCGTGAGAATTTCGTAGAGGCAACATTGGAAGGATCCATTGCAGTTCTGAGGAGGACCGAAGTATTCTGTCTTCTTCCAACCTTCCAGCCCATAGCTCTTGACGCGTTGCGATAGATCCAGGCGCATCAGACTCATTGCTGTGAAGCATGTGCCGATATTTGGTGTGAATGGATTTCCGGTGTCGACTTCGATGCCTATGCACCGTCAGCCGACCGTCTGAGCCCTTCAACCAACTGATGATGAGATTTATCGCGATGGCTGAAGGTCTACGTCTGACGCGTGTCACACAAATACGTGTACCGCAGTAGTTATGGGATCGTGTAAATTCAGCGCAGCCAGCTGGACGAGTGCCGTGAGTCAGTCTGTCCCGCGCATCTTCAGCGCGGCCTCGTCTAGAGCCCAGTTGGACTATGTGAAATGTTAGCCGATGTAAATGCAGCCGCAATACAAGCGTCGAATTGAGAATGCCAATCAACACAGAGTGATAATTTTTATTAATCTGCCTTTAAACTAAACATATATGCCCCGACACTTTGCTTGATATACTTGAAATAAAATGAAAACCTTCGAATCCCAACCACTCCGTGAAGACAAATGAACGATGCCCGGAGGTTGACACTTTTTGCGACGAACTAGGTAACCCCCCAACATCAGGGAAGCTCTCATTGTCGGCGCGAAGTTAGACACGTTAAGATGTTCCTGGCGTAGATGGCAATACAGCATGACCAAAGCATGATCTGGTCGTGAGACAGCCAGTATGGAAATGATCAAGACGGTTCTCCGAGTTGGCGCGTTACCCCCTGCACGAAGGCCATAATTATAGTACAGTACAACCTAAGGTAAAAATCGGGAGATGGCACCCAAAAAATTCGCTACTTAGAAATAATACCTTTAACAGTAGACTCAAACGCCTTCAGGCTACATCAGCGGTTGCAGGCCTACTTTCACGCACTACTTGGACTTTCCGCGACGGCCTAACATGGGCTGGCCGAACGAACATCGCAGGAGGTTACATGGACGATGGTCGCTGTTACCCAACCTTCCCTATCTTTACACACGTACACCTGAATATACGCCATACATTCGCATTATGGCAGTTTAGTACAAAACAAAATCACTTTTAAATAGGATAAGTCTGCGCAACATGGGATAGGAACAGTTCCCGGGCATCTGTCAAAGACATGGCATTGAGGCCAAACCAAAGACGATACTGGACTTCGTCTATGTGAGCCCACACAGCTTGACCACATACAGGACCTCCCTTGTGGAATTTCCTTTTCAGTCTACTCCAGTATGCCTCAAAGGCATTGGTGTGCCGTCCGGTGGTAGGGTCCTTGAAGTTCTTTGAGTGGTTAACAGTGAAATGTAGATAACCTTCTGAGGGAAGACGATTATACACCGTCCAGTCGTCCGTTACCACTATATTGCCTTTGGCGACCCATTATGTAATAATGTAACGGAGAGCCGGCCAACTTCGATCATATACCTGTTCAAATAGGGCTTTCCGTCGGCTAGTATCGTACATCCCGACCAGCCACCACCCATAAAACCCTTATTACTACCTGTTCCGTAGGACAGACTGCTTTGGTTAGGCGGATTTTTTGGGTGACATCTCCCGATTTCTACCCAGCCTATTTTTTTCGCGAAACAGGTGGAGGTGGGGGATGCTTAAAATCCCTTTGGCCGCTACCGACTAAACAATCAGGCTAGCGTGCCACGTGACGCGGTGTGCGCATATTGATTGGTAGACGTGGCAAGCGTTCAAGTGGACAGGGCGTGCAGTCTCGTGAACGCGTGCGCCTTCGTGGGACGGAGACGGTTCCCCGCCACACACCTTTTATTTCCTTAATTTTTGCTTTCAAACCGCATACTGTGATGCGTACACACAGACTGTCTGACCGATGAGGTGGGGGAGGCAAGAGGACTCGCATAATCAATGGGAAATGGTACATATTCGTGTCTCTCCACTCGAGAAGACCGTCAGGGGACCACAGGAGCTCCGCGGCCATTGCCGCGAAAGAAACAACTACCCACTGATGCATCTGCTACTGTTGAAAGAAGCCTGCTTACTGGGAATGCCCTGGGCGAAGACAGTGCGGTCCACACAGGCTCTCTCCAAGAGCGCAATGATAGCTGCTCCGAAGTCCGCGAAGAGTATTGTCAGCACGCTAATGACAAGACCGGAGGCCCAAACCATGGTTTCGGTCTGTGCAGTTGGCTGATTGAAAAAGGTAGCCCCTCTTCGGAAGTTGTGGCCAGTAAACCTTTAAATGGGCTAACAGTGGTAGCATCAGATACTGAAAATAACTGTGTCGTGACGCCACTGGAAGGAAACTGTATGCAGGAACCCTCAAAATGTTACGCGAGGGCAGGGATGATGGGTAAGTTTGAGATTGCTGTTGGAACCGATGGCATGTTATATGTCTGGCCTCTCAAGCCACCGGCGTATCCCTCAAGCAAAACCGAACAAAACGTGACAAACGCATGTGCATCAGTCTTGAAGGTATTCGACAGTGACTTGGCAGGGACTCGAAAGCAGACTCCCTCGATAAATAGCCGCAGCAGACTGGAAGAGGCAAATGTACGGGGGAGCGACTTCCCCGCCGATGGTGACAAGATAGATCAGGAGAAACGCCACAGTGAGGCGAACCCACGGCCAGGAATCAAACCAACAGCACGTGTTCCTAGGTCGCGAAGAAAGGAGGGCGTTGGAGGTGAAATCGACAAGCCGCTCCCTACAGGAACACTAGCTTGTAAATCTCCGACAAAGAACGACATGGGCGTCTGCAGACGCTGTCTGTCAAGAGAAACGGACAGTGGAAGCCATAAAGAAGGCGCCACTGATGAGCCCCGGGGAACACAGTCACCAGGCCAGTCTGAAAGTACTAAAAGTGCCCCCAAAAGAAGATCTGAGCATTTGGAACTTCGAAATGGCGGAGGCTCTCACTTCTCTACCCGAGCCGCCGAGAGTTCCCTGGAGGGGGTAGGGACCAATGTTGATGAAGGCATTCCAACCGGGATGTTACAGCTGGCCGAAAACCTACGATCAGAGAGAGTTTCAAAAGGAAAAAGTGATTCGACCGCAGCATTAATTCAGACCAAAACGGTGAAAAAGCGAAAAGTGTATCCCTGTGACGAGGATTGGGGTGATGTAGTGGCAAATCTGCCGCAAAGGCTACTTCCTGAGAGGGAGGAGCCCGGTTATGTAGGCCAGAAAACGCTGGGCTTTAGGAAACCCCCTCCGACTGCGAAGAGGGAATGCCTTCAGAGACTCCAAACCGAAGGCGTGGATGGTCAGATGAAGACAGGAAACTTCAGGACGGACGTTGAAAACGGAACAGTTGAAGAAAATGACGGAAGAGACGTCAGATGGCCAGTGAATTGGCAAATCGCTGGTTGCCCGGCATGTATGAAGAGTAGGAGACCCAAAAATGACGAGAAAAGGGTATGCGAGAGGACAAAGGAAAGGGATAGTTATGGTGATGGACGATCAGCACAGCATGAATCACTGTTGGGGAAGAGGACATGGTATGGAGCAAGACATAAAAGGTGCAAAATCCAACCAATAGTAGTTGATGAGGACGCGCCCATGTGGTTGACGCGGGTCCAAGACGGCCCCGAAACAACCACAAAGGACAACGTGAGGGTGAAACAGTCAGCAATTTTCGAGGAAGATGACGCAAGCCGTCGAACAGACTACGAAACATTAAACAACGGACCAGATACACATTCGAATTTTCGACAACTGCCCTCGGAGGAAATGGCCCACAGGCGAAACATCGGCATCAGGGGCACTGAAAATATTCCGAGCATAGTGCCCTTGCTTCCAACCACGGATGTATCAACAATACTGGGTGGATCAAAGGAGCCACAGTCACCAAACCAGGCATTCGAGCTGGTCGCAGCAGCGTCTAGCAGAGATGGAGAATGTACTAGTGCAGAACGTGAAACGTCAAATGCTGTCGTCTACAGACGTTTTACTGCATCCGAGGTAGAGAACGCAAGATCGCAGGGCCAGAGGAAATCACGAAGTGGAGAGACAGGATTGTGGTGGCGTGAAAGAAACAGACATGGTCCCCTTGCCACCTCTAAAGCAGGCGTTAGGAGACAGTGGCATAACTGCGTCAACAAGACTGTCGACAACTTATCACAGTCCCGGGACAACATGAGGGCAGGTGTGGCTGCATTTATGGACGAAGATGCTAGTCCAGGCTCCGCCGAAAAACATGCTCCGAATCCGCACATCGGGGAACAGACCAAATGGCGCGACCACTTTGTGCAAGAGGGTGCCCAAAGGCAAAGGCAAGAAAACGCCCCTCAATGGTCAGACTGGGCCAATGGGAGGCTCGATCGACACTCGGAGGGCAAGCCTGTTGGTAGGGTGCTTCGTCTAGGCCTTGGGGTAGGACACATGGTCGATGGATGTGCCCTCTCCGCAGCCAGTTCGTCGCGTTCACCAGCGGCGCAAGTCCTCACACCACAGGTTCGACTAACATCAGCGGTGCTGGCGGAACTATTCGGAAGACAAGAGGTTGGACCCAACAGAGGGACCTGCGACGAGCGCTGGGATAGAACCAATTTCGGCGTGTGTGCCAAACGGAACGACTCCAGAACGGGAGAGAAGTGCGTGCAACGCGAGGTTGAAAAATCGGCATCTCTCCGAAGAATTGTGGCATGGATTAACTCCCAAATAGTCGCAGAAGAGAGAGCTGATGATATCAAAAATAACGGTGAAATGGACGCCGCCCAAACATGCAAATTCACTAAGGTGACCAGTCTGTTGTACGCGGCGGTAAAACAGGTATGTCCAGGAATGCGAACCGTTAGGAGATGGATGAGAAAGAGAGCACACCTTTCCTCTCTGTGCAAGCCGGTCTCAACACAGGGTACGCTCAGTACGACTATAGAGACCCACTGCGAGACAAGTCGGTTGAATAGTTACCAACCGGCACAAATTTCAGTTCTATTACATCAACAGCAGGATACCTTGGTGGCCAACGGCAATCTAAGTAGCCAAGCGGAAATGCACCTTTGGAAGACTGGTTTCGCATTAGCCCAGCATCATCAAACGGGATCAACTGCCTTCTTTGCCTCCCACTCAGCAACCAACAGCTGCAGTCTGGCCCACATTACGGGTATCGTGGAGAACCGATACGGCGAAACTGCAACAGCTCCGAGAGCAGTCGGGAGGGATCAGGTTTTGGTAATGGCTACACAAATACCCGAAGGTCTAGTAGAACAGCTGAAGCGAACAGATCGAGGGGATCAACAAAAACTGCTTGTAACAGCATGCAATGAGGCTACTGAGATTACCGGAAGCGAAATCGGAACGGTAGACGCGTCCGAAAAAACCAACTTTGGAACAATGCCGCCTCGAGATTGGCAGACGAACAGAAACGCCTACAGAGAGGACACAGTGCAGACCGGCTGGTCAGGGCTTGGATATGAAACTGGACCGGCAGTCAGTCAGTCGGCCGGGGCCATCGCAGCGGCTGCCGACGTAAGAAAAAACGAGAGGAGGCATCCCAAAGACGAGCCTCAAAAAGATGACTGTAGTAGCAACAGCGGGGCGAGCCTTGTAGTCAATGTGCGAGTACGGGTGGCCATTGACGAGCGCGCTTGTAAGGGAAAAGGGAACCACAAAGTGAAACGGCACACTAACGTGCGGGGTGGTGGCACCACCAAGGACGGATGTCTCAAAGCCGGCCTGCATGAGGCTCCCGATGCCGGTGGAGTGGTAAAGGCTAGAGACGGAAGCCCTCACATCTACCAGGCAGGTGGGGCTGCGAAAACGCAAACGATCAAACCAGAGACTCGCATTGGATTTGGAAACAGCAGTACAAGTCGCCAAAGCTCACACCTGAGTGAAGAGGACCTGAAGGGAGTGAAAGTGGAGCAGAAAAGAGAAAAAGCAGAAAAGAAAAAGAACACAAAATCCCAAAAGAACAGCTCAGTGATGCTGCCGAGTCCAGGTCAGGCTAGCGATGACCTACACTTCGCTCCTGAAAGTGGACTGTTCAAGAATAAACTTGGAAGCATAGGAAGCCAGGAGGGTAGTTCAGAGGGGAAGGAGGGATACAACAGCAGGCGGAGCCGCAGCAGTGGGTCAACAGCTAAACCAGATGCAGAAACTCTGCATGAGGAGAGGGAGGTGGTAATTGCTGATGAGCGTGGTGGAGGATGGAAAGAAACTACTAAGAGCGCAACGTCCCCTAAAAACGGTCCAGTCAAGACGGCGAATCAAAAGGAAATAAGCGATGGTCTAAATATCGCTACTGAAGGCGGGTCGCATAAGCCTGGATCCGAAGCCCCACAAAGAAATGAGGGAAGTCCTGCGGAATTGCAGGTGTACAAAACAAGAAGCAAAAAGAGCTCAAAATCCGTCAAGGACGATTCTCAGAAGTCAACAGACGCTCGACGGTCAAGCGATGAGATCAGTGGAACTGCTCAAAGCGGGCCACGCAACATGGGGTCGTATGATCGAAGAGAACTGCCGGACAGCAGCCCTGAGGACCAAGTAAGCAAGAAGGGTAAAAGCCGTAGATCAGAGGTCCCAGCACCAGTGGCAGCGGCAGTAGCAAACACAGACGACCTACTCAAAGAGAGAGAGTTGTCAGGAGTTGAACAGGAGCAGGGTAGAGGAACCAAAGGGAGGAATGAGAGTACTAAGTCCTCCAAGAATGGTTTAGTAACATCAACAGATCCTAACCGGTCAACTAGTGGCGTAAATTTCACTACTCAAGGCCAGGCGCAAGTAAATGTACCGGAAGACACAGAAAGGATAACCGGGCGCAAGGGCAAGGCGACTAAGGGCGGTGGTCCGGTAGACATGGCAGCAGTTACAGCGATCCTAGAAAACCCCCAAGTAGAGGGGAACCTGGAGGGAACAGAAGAAGACCAAAACGGAGGAGGGGGAAAAAGGAATGAGAGCACAGGATCTCGTAAAGGTGGTTCGGTGACCTCAGCGGATCCTAATCGTCTGAGCGCTGCCACTTCTCAAAGCGGACCGCAGCAAACAGTAAGCGAGAAGGGTGGAATCGGTCAGCCAGTAACAACCACAGCAGCTAAAGTGAGCATTACCAACGCAGACGGCCAGTACGAGGAGGGGAAGCTGGTGCGTGTTGAGGATGAGCAAAGCAGAGGAGTAAGCGCAGGAAATGAGAGTTCAGGGTTCCGCCAAAACGAATCGGCAATTCCCCTTGGGGGAGGTCAATCAAGTAAGGAGCTTCATGTCCTAGCTCAGAATGAGCAGCATGAAACTACATTGGCAGACAGAGGAGGGAAGAGAGGCCCAGAGGAAACAGAAGTGGACAAAAGCCAGGGCACGAAGAGCGCCGGCCCGACAGACTTTACAGTAGTCACGGTCATCGCAGAAAATTCGTCTGTGGACGGGAAGCCAGAGGAAATTAAAGATGGACCACAGGGAGGAAATGAGGCAACGGGTGAGAGCACAGGACCGCGTAAAGGTAGTTCAGTGGTACCAGAAAATCTAAATCTCTTGAGCGATGGTCTAGGTGTCCTTACTCAAGACGGGCCGCATGAGACCGCACTGGATCTCCCACGAAGAGGAGAGGGCGGACTTGAAATTACGGAAGGACGCGAAGGCGAGAAGACTGGAATGAGTGGGCCAGCAACCATCACAACAGCCAAAGCAACCACAGCAAATTTAGACGCCATGTACGGGGAAGGGGAGTTGGTGAGTGTTGAATATGAGCAAGGTGTAGAAGAGAGAGCAGAGAATAGGACCTCAAGACCCCTCGAAAACGGATCAGTAGCTTTTAACGATCTTTACGCTCTGGCTCAAAGTGGTCTGCAGGAGGCTACACTGGGAGACAGAGGGCAGACAGATAGTCCAGAAGGGACGGGAGTGCATGGAAGCAAGGAGGCTAAAATCGGTGGATCAGCAGACGCAGCCATTATAGAAAATTTGCATAACGAGGGGAAACCAGGGGGAATAAATGACGAGCAGAACAAAGGAGAGGAGACAGGGAGTGCGAACGCAGGACCTCGTAAAGGTGGTTCAGTGCTATCAGCAGATCCTAATCATTGGATCGGTGGTCTACATTTTACTACTCCAAATGGGCTGCACGAGACTGCATTTGATCTCCCGCAAAGAGGAGAGGAGGGACTTGAGGAGGCAGAAAGACGCAAGAGCCAGAAAGGTGGAACGAGTGGGTCAGTGGTGGCGGCTATGACAAGTGATACCAGAAAGAGCGGTGCCGTCCGCTCAACTAATGACTTTGGAGAAAACGGAGGAGGAGTAGGAGGAGAAAAAGAACGTGATATAAGGCGCCCCACCGAAACAGATAATGCAATCCGCTCTCTAGATGAAGGTGGTCCAGGCGGCAGTTTCGGCCAAACACCCACAACATGGGAAATAGTGCAGATGGTAACGATAGACGACAGCACCAACCTGCCCGATGAGCTGACCTTGGAGAGCGAAACCGAGAAATTCATACGGAAACTGGCGAACCAGTCGACGGCGACGCGATGTCGCAGACTTGGGGACACAAATGTCCTCCTCGACAGGCTCATAATGGACACGGCGAGGTCCATCCGGAGAGGGGTGCGAGCAGTGGGGGGAAAAGGGAGATGATGAGGGGACCCTCTTTTTCCACTCTGCCTTCATTATAACAAAAAGCTGAGACGCCAGACAGTCGGAGCATGAGTACAGACAGGTTTCTTCAAACTGTGATTAGCGTCTTTTTGTTATATTCATTTTATAAATGAAGACTATTAGAAACACGCTAACACTTCTTCCTGAAGTCGATCAAAAAGAATCGGAAAATTGTGGGAGCCGTCGGCAGAGGGGTAAAAGACTCCGAGTCAGATAATTGGGAAGAAGGATGCACTGAATAGCAAAGCGATGAGGAAGTGAGCTCCAGATGCAGAAAGACAGGCAAGGGACATGGTCCTGCGTTAGACTGTAGGCTGTGGAAGTGGCCCCACAACAGGCTGTACCAAAGATGCGCTAAATCAAAACGGGAGTCAGATAGGCTCGCTGCGCGCGCTTACCGAACTGTACTTGGTCCGCGCTAACTCAGAACTACTGTCGTACGTAAATATAGTAGCACGCATAAGACTTGGGTACTTATGTCGCGTCAGCTACCGCGCCCAATCCCACAGCCGTTGGCTAACATACTCGGACGACCAACTGGTGCATGAGGAAGAAGAGCGAGGACGATGCCGACACAGAGGACTCCATCCTCACGGCATGTCGGTGCATTGAAAACCATGATAAACACGCGGCACTTTAATCTACCACGCATTACAAAGCGTAGTGGCTTGGATGGCTGCCTGACTGGGAAACGCGGTCCATCTCAGGACTGAAAGTCAGGCTGCAATGGTCCCTTCCCACTTTGGCCTTTATGGCAAAACCGAACTGCCCGGGTATATGATGTGGGAACCAGTTCATGCGTGACACACGTAAATGGGCTGTTTGGCCTGGTCGGCCACTGCGCCCGCGATCCCTGTCGGTTGTTTTGAGTTGCGTTGACGCCAGATGGGTGAGGGATGTGGGAGTGAGATAGATTCTGCGCAAGTCAGTCTCACAGTTAACTAATTTACACACGCGTCATCGGTGTTGCGCCCACTCCGTGGGGTACACAGCGGACGTCACCGCCTGCGACGGTCCAACTTTCGTAGATATTGGAAAACCCACTTTGGAGCTGAGAGCTGGCCGGACACTCTAATAGGACTATAGGCAAAAATTATTACTTGCAAACCAAGTCGACTCGAGGTTTTGGATGTACTACTGACGGAGCGTGGACTACGTTGCATACTTAATGAGGAGTACTGTTAAACAGACTAATACGGTGCTACTCTAATGGACATTGCGTGGTCTTAAAAATCTCATAAAGTGAAACTTTTTTTAAAACAGGAAGATACCTTCTCTTCGAGTATAAAATTTAAGGAAGACGTGACTTGCTATCAAATGAGTACAAGAAAGGATATTTTTGTGCATGTTTCCTGCAAAATATTCTTGAATTTACAAGGGCATCGAAAATAAATAAATTCCTGGCGTGTCTGAAATATCACACGATTATGCTGCGAGATAATCGATCCTACGGCCCCACTTGTGCAATCCTCTCTGATCGAAAACGCATTTCCAAATATCGGTTAGCATTTCATGACATCAGTTACTGAAGATAAGGGAGCCGCCTTAGCAACGGACGCCTCTGCCGAAGATCTGTGTAGGACACACGCTGTTCATCACTAACACCCTCTTTTGTCTTTTCGGCTTTAAAAGGATGCATCTCCTCCCCCCCCCCGCCGCCGACGACTTTCGAATCACGGTCTCGCTATGATGTAGGCGTGGCATAGGCAATGCTATCGTCTGGAAAGTGGGCCTGCATACCCTACCTAAATCGCAATCCTCACGGCGAATCACGGTTAGGTAATTTACGAGTTGTTCGGATAGGCGTGCAGCAAGGACGCACGGCACAGAATATTTCAGTCGAGTTCGCGCAGAACCATTTGACGGAGTGTTCTGTTTGCTGATGATGACGAGAACGATGACGAGAGAGGCATAAAAATTAAGGAGGAGAAAACAGATTTCAGGGACGGACCCTCCGCTTGTTGAAAAATTAGACGTCGCGGTTTTTCTGCACAATGACTTGCTCACTCGGGAAGACGGGTTGCCCGTTAGCCTAGCTGCTGGCTGCCCGGCGCGTCCACAGGTGGCGGATAGTGGGACGACCCTCAGTGAAGGTTAGCTGCGAAATAACCAGACCCAGGTCTGATGAATAAGCAGTCGCGGACCGGCAGCGACATTGCTACCCGGGTGCGGTGGGCTGAGGTCTGACACGCTGAAAGCCTTATAAAAAGCCGCAAAACCCAATGACGGCATTGTGACACGGCGACCGTAAACCGCCATTAAATAAGTCTGCTTGCCACCGCTGCCTTGTGGTGAGGCTTTTAAGCCAAAGCGGTAGAGGTGACAACCTCGAACAAACTGCTGGGTACCCGCCCGTATTCTAAATTCCCAAGAAACCTCATGAAATATGTCCGATCACAGTATTACGACCCACCCGAGCCGGTTTCGTGCTATAGACAACCGCGTACGTTTAGAACGGAATAAAGCTGTTGACCCCCCCTCCCCTCCCCCCTTCGTCCGTAACAATAGTAATGCGAACAAACTGGCGAGGTCTGATGGTGCTCCATTCGACCTTCGATGGACGCGCGGATGTCTTACGAGATCGTTACATGGTTGAAAAATGCAGTCTCGGTGTAGACAGGTTTACACTGTCAGATCCGGCGGGCTAGCCACTTGACATTTAGAGACGTCGGAAATGTGATGACTGCTGGGGTGTCCGAGTACAGCAAAGCGTGATTTAAAACTGTGGCCAGACCGACAGCGCATGGAAGCGGCGGACGGGTCGGGAGTACCTGGGCTACACTGCCCTCATTCCGCCAGTGTGCCGACTTACGCGAAAGGGAATTGTACAAGCGCAAAAGTCCGACAAGATGTGCAATTTAAGGCGGAATGACCTACTTTTCGATCTCCTCCTGGCACCGGAGAGGTCCATGTTTTCCCGGATGAAGGACGCGTGAGGTAGCACTGCCAAAATCACACAGAACGAAGTTCTTCTGGTTGTCAATGAGAATGTTTTCAATCTAAAACAATGAAGGGTACCGAAGGGGAAATCATGAAAGCTTGACGGCATTCAACTAACGGCCACGCAACCTCTCACAGAATAAATTTACCAGTTGCGCAAGCGATCAGGGTGGTTTCGGGCTCTAGTTAGACGATATAAAAGAGCGTGAGGACGGACAAGGGTGATTTAGTAGACTGAGTTTAGGCTGATTCGTACTCCCGAACGCATCAAAGACAGGATCGGTGCGTAGGAGAGAACAAACGACCATAAATAAAATGAACGGGCTCGTGGCCCAACACTTCGGGGTTGGGTATGACTGGCTGACGACAGCTAATAAGCCAGAAATTGTCATTCCAGTCTCCCTTGTCTTTATCGGTAATAACACACTGTCTATATCCTGCTCCGCTTTGCGGCCACTGGTTGGGCTCCAGAGAGGGAGAGCCCGTAAGGCACAACGGAACGAGTGAGTTCCGTAAGGACGATCGGTGAGCGCCCCTACCACTATAAAATGAACCACAGTAGACACTAAAGGTGTAACCTGCCGTGTGGTACACAAACAGAGAACGCGTATATGGCAAGCGACCGTTGGTTAGGGTTCGTAGGCTTCCTTATGGCGGAGTCCGCATACGGTGTGGTAGTGGATGTAAGAGAAAAGAGCATGAAAAGCGGATTTAAAAACAGTGTTTTTCAAAAACGCTATAAAACATCTGTGCCCCCCAAGCGGGTCACGTGGAAGATGCGTTGGACCAACACGGGGGCTGTATCGGGTTCTGGCAAGCGTTATCGGATTTGCGCACAATAACAAACGCCAACACTTCGGGATGCGGTGGCAGATGGCACGCATACTGGGACCCCTGCTGCCCCCTATTGTCGTTGTTGGTCAAAAGCCTGGTCATTTTCTGTGTGGACCAAGGGGTGTGGAGTGGAGCGCCAAGGTGCGGGCTCGACCGTGTCATTCACCTGCGCCCTCCTCCGCCTCCGGTTTTCTTGACGCTGTCTTGACACCGGGTCCAGGTGGTGGAGTAGGAGAGAGTGAGGTAGATGCCATGCAGGTCTACTAACACTATAAACTAATTCACGCACAAGTCACCGTCCCTGCTCTCACCTTTATGTGAGTCAGACGGTGAACATCGTCAGCAACGAGGATCGAACTGTCGAATAAAACATCTACGAGAGTACTTCACTTCCGCTCTACGGACAACGATCTCGGATCTGTAAGCTGGGAATGCAGCAAGTAGCTAAGCTCAGACGAATAAAACGCATCTGATGAAAAACTCATGTGCGGATATGATAACAGGATGGCATACCGCTAATTGGCGGAAACGTGTGCATATGAGGTGCAGGAGTGGTACTTATAAGTAACAGTGAAACTAAATACATACCTTCAAATCCCGATGAATGATGGGTGTTTCGCAGTGGTGAAGTCGCGAAACGGCCTCACAGACGTCACAGAGCACTCGCAAGACTTCAGTCTCCAAAAAACGCTGGTTCTTCTGACGACGCTCTGTAAGGACCTGAGCCACAGAGCCTATCGGTGGGGAAACGGGAAGGTAAAGGGTGAGAGGAGGCTGCTAAGAGGTGGGTAAGTGCATGGAGGTGGTCTGTTAGGAAAACGGAATGGGTCAGACCCCTCACAGCACAACAGGTGCCCTCACGCTAAACTCCAGAGGGGTTCTTATTCCCTGACCCTAACTACAACCCTAATCCCCTAACCCTTCTAACCCTAGTCCTGACCCTAAATCTACCCTTCCCTCCCCTGAAATTTAGGGCGAGGCCACTTGTAATAGTTCCGTGTCCAACCGGCGGGAATCAAGGTAAAGATACTCCATCTCACAATTGCTAACATCGTTAGCTATGAGGTTGAAAAAATCCATAACCAGGACTTGTGCTATCGCCGGGATTAATTGCACAGGTTTAGCTGCTACAAAACCGCGAGCCCGATAAAAGTCAATGGTCGACAGCTTACCATGTCAATAGTAGTGAAAATGCGATCCCCAGGTGACATGCCAAAAGAAGAGGCGTTCACTAAAAGAGGTCTATCGGAGGTCTGACTTCTCAAGTAGTTAGTTCGCTTGGCCATCTTCAGAGACTGGAAAGTCCTGCATACAGCTCTCATTACATGGCGCATCTTGGTTTATGCGTAGCGCACCGATGCCGTCTAAAGTGGCTGTATCTGGCCCACATTTCAGGGTGACCCCTGTCGCTTCCGCCCGCGCTCATCACAGAAATCATTAGTGACTCCGGCTGTTCCGCGTTATGACTGTCCTCCGTCAAGAAGGCTCGCAAAAACCGATAGGGAGGAGGCAAATTAATTTGGCGGTTGACAGAGCAGTCGGTGAACATTCAGGCTTCTTGCACCTGCCTCGCAGTTTGGCCATCGCCTCGGGCCACGACCCCAACGGCGTCAAAGTTGAAGATGTGCCCTATTTGGGTGGCATGGATTGCTAACTCCGACTCTGGGTTTAGCCTTCACATTGACGGCATTGGTAGGCCACGCACCAAGTTAAGTGTGCCATAGAATGAGAGCTGTGTGCATGACTTTCCAGTCTCTGTCAATGTGTAAACGAATTAACCACCAGGAGCGGTCAGACCTCCAGTAAACCTCCCTTAACTCTTTTACCCTAGCATGTGTCCTGGTATGTGATAGGGTCGCAGAAGACACTCATCGTGCCAAAACGTGGCTTTAACCAAATCGGCAATACTACCAAATAGTCCGAAACTGTGCACTTGTGTGGGTTTCTGTTCGTTTACTCTAAAACTATTTGAATATCTGTCACCCGTAGATATAAATCTCCTCTCTGGATCTCAGTAACGTAGTTTTCAACATAAGGCTCGTTCTTCAAAGGTGACACCCTTGATTACTGCTCAGCGGAAGGCTTAATTAAAAATGCTCTCTCTTCGAGTGGTCAAAATATAGATGTTATAACGCTTAATATGATGGGGAAACAACGATGAAACAGCGGACAGCTACTGTGATTGCATTAAAATTACTACAACGGTCATCACTCCCAAATACCAATATCACAGCACAATTGGGTGTAGCCTGTGGACCTGAAAGCAGGCGTTTATGCATAATTACTCTCCTCTGTTCACGAAACCTCACGTGGATGGCTTTGTCCAGTGAGTGTTTTATCGTTAATATTCATTTGCTTTGGACATTTCGACTGGTTCAACAACCCCGAGCTTATTTAGAGCTCTCAATAAACTGGCACTAGTTAGATGGTCAAGGACAAGGTTCATGCTGGTGTTTACCTACTGCCAACATGCATGAATGCCAAAAAAGCTAGCCTGGTTTGCTCAGGTCAGTCTGTGTGGACAGGCGATGAGAGATGAGGGTTTTCACCCTACTATGAGACCAGACGAAGCGAACTAGACGGACTGAATGACGACGGAGTGATAAGTGGAAGAGGGGTTATCGCATGCAGGCCTTTCTTCTAATGAGCTGCATTTCTACATCGACAACCTCCGTGATTCGAGCTCTTGGCTGCTTCTGGTCGTTTGTCTAGGCTTTGGATGGCCGGTGGCGCTGCTTAAATTATTGTGAGCCTACGTAAGGCTTGCAGCTGTGCCGCATCCGATGGTTAGAACGGTAAAAAGAAAAAGGTCCCGGCACCGTCTGCGACTGCTTAAGATTCGACGTGGTACTACGTAACTTGACATGTAACAAATGGATTCACAGAACTAATGGTTGACAAACGACGTACGGAAATGAAACTTGGACATGGGGCTGCGGAGTCGGGCAGAGTGATAATAAAGAAGTGGCACTTGGAGTTGTGGCATGATCGAAAACAGCAGTGGCCTGATAGGTCACCGCATCAACAAAAGTGGAGGAGGGAGTCTACTCCCTAGAATGGTAGAACATCATAGAAGACCTACCCGGATAGAAGGAAGTGACAAGAAGGACTTCATAGATGCCCGGTTCGGTCTCAGTTATCGTTGAATCGATGTACTTAATGATGTTTTTGTGTGAAAGGGAACTCTACAATGCAGACATGGCATGTATTAGGCGCTCGCTCGGGATTAGTTATGCTAGTGCGTAGTAGAAAATATGGCATTTTTCTCGGTCAATTTTTGGGAAGCAAGTAACAGACCGAAATTCGCAAACTCGGGGTCCTCCGGGGACATAAAAATAATGATAAGATTACAAGAAGACGGCATACAGAACCGCACAGCATTCTACTTAACACGGTCGGCCACGTTCTGCGCCAAGGTTGAGTACATTTTCCTTGCAAAATTTTGCTCTTTTTTTCTGAAGCCGCGTGTTTTTCCCTGCACGAAGCTTAATTGCCCGTTAAATGAAAAGATTGGCAGTTCGACAGCTTTCCGATTCCTTTCGTTTTTAGTCTCGAGGGCCGTGGGAAGAAAACGTCTCTCTTTTATAGGGAATATTAGCCTGCAGGGGTTGAACCCCTCCGATAGTTGGTGTGCCGCAAGCAACGAGGACAAACACACTGTCTTATGTAGGGTATTGAGGTGACCTGCGATTTTTAGTAGAGCAGATAAGCGCAGCATCCACCCCAGTCTCTATTCGCATAATCACTTCATTCAAGTGACAGAACGAACTTAAGACGGCGGGGGGTAGGCACAGACGCGGTAGCCAACGACACTGAAGTCATGTCTAGGCGCGCCACGCACGCGCTACTCCCTAACATTCCACCGGGCTGCAAGTGGGACGTATGCCTTAGACCTCGCATAGTTGAGGGCCACAATGAGCCAGTGGGTCGCTGCAGTCTGACCCTGGGGGACCAATCTATCCTGCCAGCTCCAAATTCTCACCTATTACTGGTATTTATTACTAATACACTGCCAATCTTATATATGCGTGTGTCTTCTCCCCCATAGCACTTCTTCCAAACTGCATGAAAAATTGCTGATGTGCAGTTGCACAAAACGGCCGCCTTCCTTGTGGGTCACACGCGGCTCAAAGCGACTGTCTCACATTTACAGACGACAGGGAATTTTCACTCAATGCGCTGTTCAAGTAAATGCTTAACAGCCGCCAGAAGACACTAAAGCCAGCTAAGGTATCTATCACAATAAACGGTAAGTTAAGTAATGTCACGCCAGTATATTATGCTATATTACAAGCTTGCAAAATTCTCTAGTTCGCAACACGCCAAACAAACCTCCAAAATGATCTGGGACAAGTTGTTTTAGAGAACTTAATCCATACCACAATCGTAACTTCGCGTTTCACCGTGGCCAGGTCGGACTTGTTGTTGACGCATGTGCGTTTCATGGCAAAAACGCGACCATCCTGAGACCGAACGCGGCAGACAACGCCAAAACCACCTGCATAGGAAGTCAAAAAGAACAACTGTAAGAATAGCTAGTCACTAAATCTAACAAAAAGTAGGCAAATGCAGGGGAACGCAAAAAAAAACAATCCTCTCAAGAATTATCGGGAAAAAGTGGAAGTCAAACACTCAAATGTGGGTGCTCCATTCATCAGGATGGTAAGAACAATGTCACTGTGAATTTTTTCAGGGAGCAGATACTAATTGCTACGTCTTAACCCTCGGGCAGATCGCACAAGACACAGGGGTAACGGTGCTTGGCCTAGGTTCTACAAGTTCTTAAAAGCCTTGCGTTGACTTCGGTGCTTCCAGAAATTCGGAATCCAATGGTATTTCGCGGGTTGCACCACAGGCTCTGACAGCGACCGACGCAGATCATAACAATTAATTTAATAGAATAATATCAAAGACTAATACTAGCAACACTCCTTTCGAAGCTTGCATAAAACAAATGCGATTTCGGCCAACATACGACATGTAAGCACTGCCCCTTTTGACATAAACTTGTCTGATCAACAAAGTTGGTGGGATGGCGTCTTACGGACATTAAATTATCCATTGTTTCCATTGTATTCTGAGGCTCGGAGCACCCGCTTGTGTTTGGATGGCAGAGTCTGGTCGTCGGGACCCTCGGTCAAGACAGAAACATTGCAGTCCGTGGCTTAGTCTGCAAATAGCAGACTGAGACAATTACACGCTACGAACCTGGACTCGAACTAAGATGCATCTGGGCACCAGGCAGTGAGCAATATGGGAAGCGCATTAGGTCAACCAACCCTTGAAATCTTGACTTAAATGCTTTGGTAGGTGCTCGATTCGAAAGGATCACCTAAGTGAGCTTGCAGCACCGATTGGCGCGCAGCATGATCCAAGGGCATTCCACATACGCCGGGACGATGGCCTATCAGTGCTCGTCTTTTAGACAACCTGTGAAAAAACTCACTTGCTATGGAACGACCGCTTAAGTATCATGCATTTTGGAGCCTGTAAAAGCGTATCCTCTTTGTAGTTCCCTTTGTGGCGAATAGCGTCTCAATATTTTTCACTTAAAGAAATGGCATTTGCGGTTCTAAAAAGGGTTTACCAATTCCTGAAAATAGACTTGCGCGTAGAAGCTAAAGGTGCACATTTTACACTTCTCGTCTACAGCATTAACGAAATGCCGTCTAGGACTGATAGAGGTTTTTAGGTTTGTCACGCGGTATACTTCAAGCAATATTAGCGACGGGCAGCTAGGATGCTGTCTGAGTAAGCACTTCAAGGTCTTAAAATATCTCCCAATCACAAACAACCCGGACTTCTTAAACCAAAAGAAGTTGAAAAAGAGGTAATCTGCCAGTACAGAATGATTTGTGCGTGCTTTCTATGACAAATGTTTGCATTGATAAAGACATCGAAAATCCAGCAAAGAATGACATGCTTCTATGAACTTTATAGCGGTTGATATTTTCGCGGGAGACCAAAAAAGGTGCACATTCAAAAGCCAGCATTCTGGCGTATGCAAAAAGTACCTTCTGATTATACTGCATGCCAATAGTTATAACAACCCCATTTCCTTTCTAAGAGAAATATTATCGCAGAACTGCGGTCAAGGTTTTATGAGCTAGATCGCCTAGGCATGCACAGTGGAACATGAGAATTATTCTCTCACAACGCAGAGTTTCACCATACAAGCTTCGGATCGGTACAATGTGGCTTTGATCAGGACTACCCCTATATCCTGAATGCGTCCCTCCGATCACGTCTTCAACAAACGACTATATGGCCGCTCATAAACAAATACCGTCAACTTTGCCCTCAGCACTTGCGTTACCTCAATCTTACGACGTAATTTTGCGCGAACCCAGCCGACGCTGGTGACGATCTCGAGATGACCAACACTATACCAAACTAACAGAAAACGCGGGCGAACTGGGCTGGTAGTTACCCCGTGATTTTAAGTCTACGGTAATGTACCGACTTTGCTCAGAGGTCTACCATCAACTGACTGCAATGAAGGGTGGTCGTTCAAGATGTGGCGAATCTGCGGTTTAGAGCCCGGTGAGTCGGCTAGAACGAACGTCATTAGACATTCTTAAAACGACTTCAGCTGGAAAGTTATGAACGTGCAGTATTCTTCGCGAAGCAAGATGTTGACAGGGAGTAAAGCAGACACACAAACCTTCGGCAATTACGCTCTCAATAGTTAGTCTATGATTGCCAACAAAAAATTGTTTTCCGGGCTGAAGACTATGGTGGTGAGCCGATTGCGAGGAAACCGACTCAGTTTCACTGTGAGACAGAAATGCCAGAATCTTCCTCATTGAAGGCTATAAAGATTTGGAGACAGTTTTGATAAATTGTGAAAATTGATCAAAATCCTCCTGAGTGATATAACAGCCTAAAGAAAGTGGAGGAAAAAATGAACGTAAATAAAAAAGCAAACAAAGGAGACTAAAAACAGAGCATCAATCAATCTCAAAAAAATTAATAAAAATTTCTCAGGCATCCTAACGAGGGTTTAGCTCCGTCATTAAAAGAGAAAAGGACGGCTACGTTATTGCGGACATGGTATGTTAAAGAAATGTGAACAGTTACTATACTTGACTGAGTTCTTTAGGCTCAAAGAAACTAAGCGATTTTAAACCAGGTGGTGTTTACGTGAGCGGGAAAGGAACGTTTTGTCCAGGAGCAGTTGAAGGCATGTTTATACCGTTATTGAATGACTCACCATACTGACGGCACAGCTACTAACTGAAAGTCTAGGTACGCGTTCGGCCGATTTTCGGTGGCTGTATTTCTGTACCGTTAGCTGCAGTAAGCCTTTATACCGGTCTTAAATTGTGTACGAGTAACACCTGTTATAGTACGTACTGAAAAACAAACAAATTCACAGGTTTATATGGAAAACACAACATAGCGTGCACTGTCTTGTCAATTCTGCAGACGATGTTTAGCGGTTTGTGACACTGAACTAAGTTTGTCCTTCACATTCTAAACATACCACGGCCGACCGAAGGAAACACCACGGATGTCGTCTCAAATTTTACGGAACCCGTTTGTCGACTGAACGACAGTTCTGTGGGTATGAATTCGTAGTAGAAAACGGAAGTGTAAGTCTCCGGTTGAGCGTGAATGAGCCCTTGCATACATGTGGGGACACAACAAAGGTAGGTTGTAGCAAACTTACATAACTTTGGAAGTCTCGACTGGAAATCGTCGTGTACGTGTTAATGGTAAGATTGTCTGCATTCATCTAGTTTACCCTAAGTCCACAGATAAATCGGACTTCTTCGAATACCAAATAAAATCCTCTCATGCAAATGCTTGCAAAGCTTCCTTATGTACTTCACTAAACTGGAAACCAATACATTTAATTTACTAGAAGTGTGTTTGTTTCGTCCTAGACAGTGGCTGCGCCGAGAGAAATTATTCGCTGTTGAAATAGGGCCCCAAGTAGTCTTCGCTGGACAAGGTGATGCCTGACATGATCGTTTTTAAGGGCATTAAGTAAGGTACATACGTATACGACGGATGCACATTCTCACAATTGGGTATGTGCCAGTTCAAACTCCTGTACCTTTGATTAAACCGTTTCTGGCAAAAGCCACTGCTATACTACAAATCCACATGCACCGTTTTAGGACCTCTTTAGGTAAACCACCGCAAGCGACGAGACCCATCACTGTGTACCAAGGGGTTGGAGCAGCAGAGTAAATTGATTTTAGTAGAGCAGACTTGCGTGAAACCTAACTTGCCCTGTAAAGGACACCGGAGGAAGGTGAAGACGCGGCGACATACAAAGCAAAACAACTGCCTACGCATGAGATATACGACGTCCCCCCCAAACGGCATATGTATCAGGATTCAATGGGGCGGTCTCCAGTCGCACGTGAACGAAAGCCCATGAGGAACGCATTGAGGGGTGTACTATCGAGTTATCCTGTCCGTTAGCAACTTTAGGAACTACGACTGCTAGATGGTGGGGTCAGTTCTAATAAGAACTAATTAATTAATTAGAACTAAGACGTGTATGGTTGTTTGTAAAGTGAAGCATGAGCGCTGAACATACATCACTTCCTCTGTCCGAACGCCGATCCGAATCGGGACTCACGCAAGTAAAGATGTCTGACACTCGCATTGGCGGCTGGCATTTATCACCTCAGCTACCAAACCTTCATTAAAGAATTACCGTAAAAAAACGGCGAAAGGTTTAAGTTGTTTATAAAACGAGTGGCACGTGTTGATATAAAAACCGTTCGGCAAAATAGTATTTGGTAACGATGCCCGTTACTTTTAGTACGAACTCCTGTTTATAAAAGTTGGCGAAAATTAGGTAGGCGACATCTGACAACGAACTCGAAAGTTTCTCTCCAGAAAGGCCTAGTTCAAACTGGATAGGTCCACGGTTCAAAAAAACGCACAGGATTATGCGAAAATTCGACTACTCTCAGTATTTTTATGCATTTCTGTCAAAATTTATATAGATATTAAAACAACGCTGGGCATTCGAACACCCACCGAAAGAAAAGAGAGCGAAAACGAGTCACAGACACTGGGTGATGAACTAAACATCGGCCTCACTTGTAATGTCTGATTCGTGAAGATCAGTAAGGGTCGCAGAACAGTTATCTGCCGGAAACAATTTCCTACTCTTAACTTCTGAGTATTATTTTGGGGTTCTGAATCCGGAGCATCAAACATCCTTCACTTCCAGTCTCAATCGCATCAGAACCGAACGCTATGTCTGAGAAGTATAGACAGGTTCCCATGAGGAAGTATATTACATCAGAGTACATAAATGCGTAAAAACGTCAGTAGAAAAAATCACGACTTGAGCACAGGAAATAACAAGAGGAGATATTGATGGGAAGAGTGTGTACATACATGAAAAATTGGAAACCAATCGCATCAACGACAGACGAGAGAACAACATAGAACAAACGTAAATAGGATATATGAGGCATGCACGTTAGAGGTATTGATTGGCTCCAGGCGTGGCATTTGGTCCAGAATTCTCTACCAGGTGAGTAGTCATTTATTTAGTAAAATAAATCTAGAATCTTATGCCGTATTTGGCTTGTCCCAGATTGACTTAACTGCGTGAAAATTAAACAAACGTGTAAGCGTAAACTCATGAAAATCAGCAAGTGTGAAGATCAAAAAGACGAAATATCATCAAGGAAGCGGCCGAAGTCTGGCCGACAAAACTTGTTATGTTATCGGCCAGAATACTTGAAACATAAGGATTTAGTTCTCTAGATTTATTTTGTTATGGAAACGTCGGACAGCATGGAAGAAGTCATCAAATCATCGTCAAGACAGCCATGGTGGGGCAGTTCCATTTACGTTAGGCAAACACTTGCATTTCTGCCTTTGGAGCTCCCGCATTTTTTCGCGGTAGAAGGCAGCTGCCGGCCCCAGGTTGCACTAAAAAATAAGTTCTTTTTATTGGTTGGCTTTGTCTATCGTCCTCCAAACGCCAATGAGCATTTTTATTGTTGTCTCTTATAGGCATTTTATGCTTCAGCCGAATGAAGCTACAAGCATCAGATGGGTGCGGGTGACTTGAATCTGTCTGATAACCGCTGGTCTCCGCCATCCGGCTGCAAAATGTTCGAAAATTTATTTGAGCCTGTGGACGTTGGGATGTGGAGTCAGCTTGTCGATTTTCCCACCCGCGAATCAAGCACACTTGACGTAATTTTCTGTAGAGGTTGCATGCCTTCGTCAGTGCATCCCAAGACCCACTAGGGGGCTCCGAGCATGACCTGTCTGATTCAATGGTAGAACTAGAGGATGACAAAATTTTGCCTTCAAGGTTTCGCTTTTTCTTCGAGTTCCGATCAATCGACTTAGCCGAGTTATTAAAATGCCTTAATTCGTACGAGTGAAATGCTATTTTCCTAAGTTCAGATGTAAATGTTTGCACTGCCAAACTGTACGAAAACTTTGATCGACTTTTTTCTCGTTTTGTTCTCCTTAAGTAATTTATTGATGTCGGGGATTAGGTATTTCTCTCTTTATCCTGTCGCCCTACACTGCGCAGACTTTCTCGTCGATTCCATCTTCAGAACGGCGTTTTCGTTCTGCCCTCGATTTGTGACATTTTTGAGCTGGCTAAGAGATCAAATAAATGAATGAACTTTTTATTATAGACCCTTGCGGTCCCGTCATAGCAAGTAAAAACCACTTTTCATAAGAATTTTAGAAGAGATAGACAGAATTACCAGAGTATTAAGTTCATGCTTTTTTAATAAGCAGTTTTCCCAGAAAATGACTAGCGAGAAGTGAAAAGTACTCCTTTACCTGATATACAAAATGAATGAAATTGGATAAACTGAAGAAACTGTCCTTCATGAAAAGAAAAGAGCGTGGCAGGACTGGCTGGTACCCAGTTGACCGCTGATCGCTTCAATGCGTTCCTGTCCAAAACGTTTATTAAAAACTCGCCCACTCCGTTTTCGACTACTCAGGCATTGACCGGGGGCAGTTCTCGAAATTCTGTAGGATGTGACTGTACCGATTCGGCGTTTTCGTCGATCTCACGGCCCTGGACATAATGATGTCCCAGTTAGCATTCAAAAAGCGCATCCAGTTCCCCACTCTTGGAAGTTAAACCTATCCCACCTTGTAGAAGGAGTCGCACATTTTGTCTATTCCCAAGCATGGTCAATCTACTCTATTTGATGAATCCCGGCCAATTAGCACCCGCCCTTCAGTTTCGAAAATCTTAGAGACATTGATTAAAGACGAGATGGTGTGCCGATTGACAGGGGATAACCTACTGAACGCTGTACAGCATGGATTCCTCAGAGCTCGGTCTTGTGACAACTGACAGCTCTCTTACGTTAATCATGTTCTCCAATCTATGGACGACGGTTGTGCACCTTAAACAGGTTATTTCGATTTCACTAAGGCTTTTGATCGTGTTGACCATGTTCTTCTTCTCTTGAGACTTTCCTACTTCGGAATAGGTTGCAAATGTCTGAACTTTATATCCACTTACGTGGGTGATCGTTCACAACGTGTTAAGAGATCGAATGCTACCTCCAAACCCACGTGTGTGAGGCGTGGAGTCTTTCAGAGTCATTCAGAAAGTCCTTCAGATTTATTTCAGAATGGTGAGCCCTTGATGTGTGCCGATGATCTGACAGAGGCATATACATATGAGCCGGCAGGACGTGACATGGTGCTCGAACGCCTAAAGAACGATCTGCTGGCCTTTGTCAGTGGTGCCGCATATGGCGCCTTTCTCTCTCTTGGCATAAATGCTTAGTCATGGTGGTAAGAGACAATCAACAACCTCATCTAAATATGGACGGTCAGGACATAAATGAGCCCGGGTTTATTAAGGATGTGGGTTATCATACTTCAAAGGTCTGTAAGTCAACGAACATTTTTGATTTTTCACTCTAAATTTTCTTGTACACCTGAACTTTCCTGTGCGGTTGTTTAAGTTGGCCAAATATCAGCTAAATCAGCTACATAGGGTTAAGGTCAAGCCGACGGTTTGAAATTTGAAGATAGGTGGAGGATATTATTTTAAGTTGTTTTTCTGTGAGACCTAACGATTTTAGCCCATTTTTGGTAAATTTCCTTAAATACAGGCCTATTTACTCAACTGAGCCTGTTGCTATCTTTTTGAGTTCTGCTGGTCTGTGCCTGTTGACCACCAGTCGCACTCTGCTGTGAAATTTATTTTTCCATCATTAGCCTCTAGCTGAAATTTAGTCACCTTTACTGTCAGAAGTTTTCTTTATCACAACTTGCCTCGAGACAAAGTGAGAGTAAAAGTCACAGGTCGACGTAAGCTCTCGGCATCTGTACGTAAGCGTGACTTAACTAAATCTACTTAAGAAAGCTTACCTAATCGGAAGTCAGCAGATGTAACTGGTCAGTCATCACCCGTTGTAGCCGGTAGGCAGCTTAATCTGCCTGCACTTGAAAACTGCAATGATTTTATGCAATAATTTTATGACTGGAACATCTCACTTAGGCCACCTGACGCATTTGCCTGCCCCTAAATTAGTAGCAGCTGCAGTAGCCCTATTTGTCGTTTCGTATCCTCCGGATAGTCCCGCTGAGACACATGAAAATCCGTCTACATCAGCTAGACCGATAAATTCTCCTGTTCAACTGGGTGCTGCAAGCTCTACAGCTAAGTCACCCGTGCCTTGGCGTCAGAACGGTGAGACTCGAAAATTGAATCAGACTCCGACCCAAAAGATAGGTAGTACATTTCCGTTTAGGGGTGCGACGCCTTCTCTTAGATCTAACATGCCTCTTCAGCCCAGCACGTCTACAAACCCCGCAGCTCCAATTATATCCCCGAATAATTCTCTGTCCTGCGTACCGGTTACTTATCAAAGCCCTACTATATATCCAGCAAATAATTCATACATGAATTGCCCTAAATCATTTATACCCCAACCTAGTTCAGGCTTCCCAAAACTTGTGGTCAATTGCTCTCAGGTACGTCAACCTATCTCCTTTGACTTCCAATCTAGACCTGGTTTTCCACCATTTCAGTCTTTTAGTGGCCTACCCTCACCCATTAGCCCCTACTTTCCTTCTAGCCTCCCTCCTCCTCCTCCTCCCCTTCCTCCATTATTTAACTACCAACAAGTCTATCCATGTTCTTACTCCCCTAGCATTCCAATGTTTGAAAACTATATGCCCACCTCCTTTAGGTCTCATACTCAGCCTTCTCTTGCTGACTCCCCGTACGTCAATAACTCTAAATTAACTGGTACTTATTCTCCAAGTGTCATTAATTCGCAGATTACATATCCGCCTCCAAATTTTTTTAAATACCGTCGAAAATAGCATTGTCGTTCGAAACACATTAGATATTATATTATTGAATGTCAGGTCTGTTATAAACAAGATGGCCCAAATCAGAGCCATTGCTCTGGAAATGACGCCTGATATTATATTTGTAACAGAAGCTTGGACTCATTCTCTTATTCTTGATACTGCCCTTCTCATAGATGAGTTCGATTTTTATCGTCAACAGTGCACGACTAGGCGTGGGGGTGGTTGTCTTCTTTATCTTATGTCCTACCTTAAACATTCTCCCTATTACTTGGATGCTTTCTAATACATGAGAAACTTCTGCTTTTTATCTGTCATTCTCCAGCCGCGAAGAAAGGCAATTATTGGCTGTATCTACAATGCCCCAAATTTTTTAGCCAGTAATGATTCACAACACTGTGCAATCTTTGAATTAATTTCGGAAGCTGCTTTCGATGTTAAAATAATCACTGGGATTTTAACCTTCTAAAATGGACTGGGTTTCCAATATCTGTCCACCTAGATTCCAGCACTTCCAAGATATTGTCAATTTTTCTAACTGGTCCCAACTGGTGTGTTCTCCAAGAAGAGATAATCATATTTTAGATCTAATCTTTACCAATGACATTGCTCCTCTTTTTGTTGCCTTCAAAAAGGACTTCTTTGATAGTGACCATGTATTATTTCATTGTTGCTTACCGCTTGCCTTTTCAAAAAAGACCAGCGCCGTTCGGACTTACATAAACTACGATTGCGTATATAACGACTTAATAAATAACTGCATTAGATCTTTGGATTGGTTGGCGTCCTGTCCTGTAGCGATGCAACCATTCTTCGTGACCTCATGTCCAATGTTTCCAAGGACATTCTTGAGATTTTGCTGCTCAGATATCTCAAGCCTAATTCTTCAGATGTCCTTATTCCGCATTTCCATCACATCAGACTGAAAAGTTTGAGACGGCAGGTGCGTGACCTACCCACTAGTTCCTTATCAGTTCATCTTAGAATCACAAAGATTTTAGAGATGGCCTCAGTGATGCGCCAAGCGCGCGACAGGCAAAGAAAATCACTTCCCCTCAGTGATTCGAACTTTGGCCAATCCGTCGCAAACATCTTCCGTCATCGGTCCTCCTCTAAGCGTGGTCACGAAATTTTCCCCTGCTAAATGCAATTGCTATTTGGAATAAACTACCCATAAGTGTAAAAAGTCTGCATAATTATCCTTTATTTAAGAGAACTATTACTCGATTTTTGCATTTAGAAAAGCTCCCACAAATTTTGGGTGCTGAATCCACTGATCGACTCTACCGTAGTGATGGCGTTCGTGGTCTCTTAACACTATGGCCGGTCTCACCATAGGCAATTTCGTTGGCCAACAGAGACAGCTGTTCCTCAACGCCTATACTTTGCCTATCCCCAACTTCATGAAAGGAATTGACGTCCGATAATCTCCGATACCGTGCAACTCCCCTCCCCCCACCGTTCTTGACGGCCGTCAGCAGTTTTTGCTCCTGAACTCTCCGAAACATAAAAACCACCATCAACTATGCTTTTATTCCTTTACCTCAGGAGTTTTTTTTCATTGCTGGTCAGATTTGTGTTTAACGCCTCCCTTGACAATGCCTGTAAACTGGCATTAAATAAATCATCATCATCATCACCATCATCATCATCATCATCATCATCATCATCATCATCATCATCATCATCATCATCATCATCATCATCATCATCATCATCATCATCATCATCATCATCATCATCATCATCATCATCATCATCATCATCATCATCATCATCATCATCCTCATCATCATCATCATCATCATCATCATCATCATCATCATCATCATCATCATCATCATCATCATCATCATCATCAGCATCATCATCATCATAAATGATAACAAAGTATTCCTCATCGATGACACTGACCAGACGGATTTGTTTAGTGTTTTATTTGCAAAACACCTTACTACTGAGTTCGAACCAGTCCCTTTCTTTCGTTCACTTTTAGATAAGGCACTGATTACAATCGATGTCTCCTCAGATCTCATTAAGAAACACATAAGACGTTTAAAAAACTCCCACTGCTCAGAAACGGACTGGATTCCAAATTCGATTATTAAATAAGCATCCGATCTTCCCATATTGCTTAGCCACTTATTCTCGGATTATACGTCAAAAGGATTCTTTCCTGAAACAAGGAAAACGTCAATTATCAGTCCCGTCTTCAAGTCTGGATCTCGGGGCATGCACATAACACCGTCTGTAACAAAGCTTCCTGAATAGATTATTTTCAATGAACTTCCTGACTTCTGTCTCGCTGATCGGCTTCTGAGCTCTAGTCAGCATGGATTGTTACCTGAACGATCCTGCGAAACTTGCCACCTGGCATTTCTTAAGTTACTCACTTCTCTTCGTAATCAGCGGCAACCAGTGGTTGTTATCTACTTTGATCTTAGCAAAGCCTTTGACAAGATGCCCCCTATACGTCTTTCGGTAAAATTGGAAGCTCTCGGCATCCGGCCGCCTCTACTCAATTTCGCCAGGTCCTATTTGTCCAACCGATATCAGAAAGTCATGGTCGGTAATGGCTACTCGACAACTCACTCGATCACGAGTGGCGTACTTCAAGGCACGGTTCTTAGTCCGTTAATCTTAGTACTTTGTATCAATGATATTTCGACTGAACTCGACAATTCTCAAACTTTTATTTATGCCGATGATCTCAAGTGTGTTTACTCATATTCTAAGTACACCGCAAACGTTTGTGTTGAAAAAATTAATGCCGAATTATCACGCTTAAGCAGATTGAGTTCAACATGGCAGATGGAGATTTCATCATCCAAGTGTAGTTTCATGCCTTTTGGTATTGCCAAACTTCCTGGTCACATAGTTTTCAGAGTAACCCACTCTTAGGATTCCTATCATAAAGGATCCAGGTTAAATTTACACAAATAAACTTGCTTTATCATCTCATGCAGATAGAATCTCTGCCAAAGCTTCACATATTTGTGGATTCATATCGCATATTTTTTTCCTTCCGGAAATGAAGCTAAGACTTTATCAAATGTTTGCTCTTCCAATCCTCGAATACTACTGCCCTTTCTTTGGTTTAATGAACGCCTGTGACCGCTATAAGATCGAAAATGTTCAGAGGTTTTTCACCCGAAAACTGTTCTCTCAAGCTTCGTCCGGTATTTCTTATACTCAGAGATATCAGCTGGCGAACATTCAGTTTCTGTGAGTTAGAAGACTCAAAGCTGGCATTTGCTTCCTTTTTTGCATCAACTCGAGCTCCAATCTTCCGCTCATTGACATTCTCACTCAGAGAGATCGGTCTTATGCCACGCGCAAATCCTACATGGTGATTCCGCTGCCACCTCTTTGCACTACATCTAAACGCTCCCTCTTCCTTGCTTCCAAATATGCCTTCTTCTGAAATAATCTTCCGACAGAAAGTAGGTCATCGCCTAAGTTATTGGCATTCAAGTCAAAATTATGCAAACGCCTTACACCGGAAAGAATAAAGGCACTGTTAACGGTCTCATTCCCGAACACTCAGCTTCTTGACTTCGAGAAGGGTCCTCCTGGGATTTAGTTGTAAATCAAGTAGTAACCCTTAATTGTATCATTAGAAACCCTGTTTTGAATTGATTTCTTAATCCACTGCTATCACTCCTCCACCATAGCGACAATTTTTGTGGTTCTTAATCTCATCTGTCACATTTCGACCTCATGCGGTCTGTCAACACTCACGGCGGAACCCTCGGCACCCGCCGTCTACTAGTAGTTTGTTCGTACCTCCCGTCCCCACTCCTCAGCAGGCCCGAAGCGTACTGTGGCCGATCGCTTCTGGATTCCTCTCGTCTGGCCTCTTGGACGTCTGAAATTTGCATGTTATTTTATTTTTACTTGCTTTGATGGGACCCCGACGGGTCTTTGATAAAAAAATTATTATCAAAATACACACACGGCTCGAGAAAAAGCGTGACTTTGACGTCCGTATGCTGCTTGATGTCCTTGTTTCGTTGATTGCACTCATTCGCATCAATGGCTTTTAGCCAATCGACACGAAACATCTATATCTTTCGGTCATATTTAATTGGACGTAAATTCGCCTGGTCGAAAAGCCTCAGGATTTTACCCAGAAGATTCACTAAACAGCCAACGATTCTGGAGAAGGCTTTATTTTTCGTAAGTCTGTACAATTATTTACGCCTTGCCGTTTTTCTTATGCTCTTTTTGCTATCGTTTTTTGTAAGAAACGCAGCATCCCCCACTTAGAGTTATGTATCTATTATTCTTTAAGTTTTAATTGCTGTTCACTACAGATCTTAACCTTTCGGAGTACTGCGCCCTGATAGTCTCCAAAGAGAGAAGAACGGCCGCGTTTATACTCCGAATTTTTAAAACCAGTGATATTAGAATGCGCCTTTATAACATGTACATTATACCTGGCCTGGAATGCTGCTCGTTTTTATTTAGCCTCATGTGTGTTGCTGAGCGAGAGAAAATAAAATCCGTCTAACACTTTTTTGCAAAGAGAGTTTTAACCCGGAACACCGTATTTTGTCGCACCAAGAACGTTGCCGTCTTACAGGCCTTGGTTCTTTGTAGTTTCGTATATTACATAAGGGACTATTTTTGCTATTTAAATTCTTATATAATCGTACCTTTAAGCCGCTGAGTATTTTAAAACACCTTGTCCACCTCCGACGTATAGGTCGATGTGAGTTCTTTTATTTAATAATAATTAATTAAATGCCAGTTTACAGGCATTGTCAAGGGAAGCGATTAAACACAAATCCGCCCAGCAGTGGCACGTACTGTTAAAGGCCGTCGGTTCTTTTCCGTGAAAGCAATCTGTGTTTAGAATAAACTACCAAGTGATGTAAAAATTCTCTAAAATTATTCTTTGTTTAGGAGAACTATTGCTCGTTTTTGCATATAGAAAAGCTCCCACGAATTTTGGGTGCTGAACCCACCGATCGACTCTGCCGTCGCGATGGCGTTCGTGGTATCTATGGCCGGTCACACCATGGACATTTTGTCCAGCCAACAGCGACAACTGTTCTTTAGTGTCTCCTTTTGGTCCAGTGCTAGCTTCATGAAAATAAATGGCGAATGATAATATCCGGTGCAGTGCTACCCATCGCATTCTCGACTGTCGTCATTTCGTGGACAGAAGTTTTTTCTCATAAACCCTCCAAACTATACAAAACATAATCCTACTTGTTTAATTATTAAGAGTTTTAACAGTGGTAGGGGGCGCTCACCGATCGTTCTTACGGAGCTCACTCCTTCCCTTGTGCCCTACGGGCTCTCTCTCTTCAGAGTTCAACCAGCAGCCGCACAGCGGTGAATGATATAGGTAGACTGTTATTATCGACAAAAGACAAAGGGGGGCTGGAATGGCCACTTCTGGTTTAGTAGATGTCGTCGGCCTGTCATGCCCGACCCCGAAGTGTGGAAAACATGAGGTAGCGATCCCGCGACTTGTTAGTTGGAAGTACAATGCTTCTAACCACTGGGCCACAGGGTCGTTGTCCTCTACCCCTCTGACCCTCTACCATTGTATATTCCCGATCGAAACCGACAGGACAACGAGCCCATAGCTCAATAGTTAGAGGTGTTGGAATTGTAACCAACAGGTCGTGGGGTGGAGCCTCAAGTGTTGCACACTTCGAGGTTGGGTATGACTGGCTGATAGGCCAGGAACTCCATTGCAGTCTAGCTTTTCTTTGTCAGTAATAACATTCAGCTTATATCTTTCCTACATTTGGCTGGATTTTTGTTTAGCATTTCCATGAAAATGCCTGTAAACTGTCAACCCTAGGCCCGCTCGGGGGCTCAGACCACGACATAGTTGTTTCAACGTTGGAATTCGAGACTGACAAAACGTCGTCTCCAAAGTATAGATTTTTCCGCAATTTCCGATCAACTCACTCAACCGAATTATTAACACACCTTAATTCCTACGACTGGACTGAGTGCTTCCTTAGTTCGGATGTAAATTTTTGCACTGCAAATCTGTACGAAATCTTGGATCCGCTTATTTCTCGTTTTGTCCTCCGTAAGAAAATAATTAATGTTAGGGATGAGGTTTTCCTACCCTTACTCTTTCGCCGCCGATTGCGCAGGCTTTATCGTCGTTTCCATCTTCAGAACGATGTTTCTGTTCTGCCCTTGATTTGTGATATTTTTGACCGAGCTAAGAGATTGTCCGAAGAAAGACAGCTAGCCGAAGATGTCCAGTTTACCGAAAACCATTCGTTAAATGTCTCGAAACTTTTCTCTAGAAAAATACGAACTCATAGAAAGACGCAGCATCCCATCCTCCGAGATGCTCTCGGAAATCCCATAGTGGATGCCCAGTAAACCGCTGATAGCTTCACTGATGTCCTGTCCAAAACGTTCATTGAAGACTCGACCACTCCGCTTCCGACCATCCAGCTATTGACCGGGGCAGTTCTAGAAACTATAACTTTCACTCTGTGGGATGTGACTGTTGCGATTCGGCGTTTTCGTCAATCTTATAGTCCAGGCCCTGATGGTGTCCCAGTAAGCATTTTAAAAGCCGATGCAAACACGATCTTCTCATCCCTCTTATGCAAGATATTTAATCTCGCTCTTGAAAGTGAAACCTATCCTACCTTGTGGAAGGAATCACACATTCTGCCCATTCCTAAGCACGGAAAATCAGCTTCATTTGATGACTTTCGGCCAATAAACGCTCTCCCCGCATTTTCGAAGATCTTAGAGACATTGATCAAGGATAAGATGATGTGTCACTTAACAGTGAATAACTTGCTGAGTGTTGCTCAGCATGGATTCCTCAGAGCTCGATCTTGTGACACCTGTCAACTCTCTTTCTTTGACTATGTTCTCCGATCTAGGGACAATGGTTTTTGCACTTTACACTGTATATTTCGATTTCACTAAGGCTTTTAATCGTGTTGACCATGCTCTTCTTCTCTTGAAACTGTCCTCTTTCGGAATAGGTGGCAAACTTTTGAATTTTATATCCTCTTACCTGGGCACTCGTACACAACGAGTCAAGATTTCCAATAACATTTCCAACCCCACACGTGTGAGGAGTGGAGTCATTCAGGGTAGTGAACTCAGCCCACTTTTATTTTGCCTTTTCGTTAATGATGTACCCTATTTATTTCAGAATGGTAAGCCTTTCATGTATGCCGATGATCTTAAAGTTGCATATCGATATAAGCCGGCAGATCGTGACCTCGTGCTTGAGCTCCTAAAGAGCGATCTACAGGCTTTCGCCCAGTGGTGCCGCACATGGCGCCTTTCTCTTTCTTGGCATAAGTGCTCAGTCACGGTGGTTGGCGACGACCACTAACCTCAACTAAGTATTGAAGGTCACTCCATAAATGTGCCCGGGGTTATTAAGGATTTAGGCATATCATACTCCAAGAGTCTCAATCTCTCGGAACACTGTGCCTTGAAAGTCTCCAAAGCACGCAGAACGACCGGGTTTATCCTTCGAAACTTGAAAACTAGGGATATCAGAATGCGCCTTTACAACATGTGCGTTAGACCTGGTCTGGAATACTGTTCGCTTTTATTTAGCCTCATGCGTGCTACTGAGCGGAAGAAAATAGAATCCGTTCGACACTTTTTACCAAGAGAATTTTAGCCCCAGAACACCGACATTTTTCTTACCAAGAACGTTGCCGGCTTACGGGCCTTGATCCTTTATGGTTTCGTAGATTACAAAAGGGACTATTTTTGCTATTTAAACTCTTATATAATCACACATTTAACCCACTCACCTCCTTAAGACATCAAATCCACCCACGACGTAACAGTCACCATGGAGACTTTTTATTTCTGCCTCTGGCACGCACTGCTAAATATCGCCGGTTCTTTTCTGTAAATGAAATTGCTATTTGGAATAAACTACCCATGAGTGTGAAAACTCTGGAAAATTATCCTTTATTTAAGAGCACTATTACTCGATTTTTGCATTCAGAAAAGCTTCCTCAAATTTAGTGTGCTGAATCCACTGATCGACTCTACCGTAGCGGTGGCGTTTGTGGTTTCTGAACACTATGGCCGGTCTCACCAGCTGTTCCTCAACGCCTCTACTTTGACTATCCCCAACTTCATGAAAGGAATTGGCGTCCGATGATCTCCGATACCGTGCAACCCCCTTCCCCCTTCTTGACGGTCGAAAATCTACCGCCAGCAGTTTTTTTTCTCCTGAACCCCCCAAACCATAAAAACCACCATCAACTATATCTTTATTCTTCAGGATTTTTTTTTCACTGCTGGTCGGATTTGTGTTTAATCGCTTCCCGTGACAATGCCTGTAAACTGGCATTCAATAAAATTAAATTGAAATTGAATGCTACCATTATTATGTCCACTCGCTAAATATGACCTCGGCCACTGTAATAGTGTCCGCCTGTTGGATGGGCACGACTCCCACTACTTGGCGGAAAAGTCTACTAAGACAAACGTATACCAGTTTATGTAGGGGGAGTAAAGGACATAAGACCCATTTTGTTAACACCAAAACTTCGTTCGGTTAGCCTGCCTGAATGGGCTGCGGCGGTATGCGGTGCGCCAGGTTGGACTTTTGCCATCTACACACAAGAGGCAGGCGTTAAAAATGTCCTGGATGATCCGGCGTTGATTTGGGCACCAAAAACACTGAGGCGCGGCTATGTCTGTCCGAGACTGGCCGGCGTGACTCACATGAAAATGGAGGAGAGGGAGAGTGGGGCGGATCACATCGTGAGGTAGGACCAAAAAAGTGGCTCGGCGGGAGAATACTGAGGGAATGGCAAGTCTTCGCGATGACGAAGGCTGATTCACGCCGACCAAAGACGTCGAGTTTCCCGGCTACGCTCTTTCATCATCTCGTTTGACG